ATATCTAATTTGAAAATTAAGTTGCCTCCTCTAGTGACAGTACCAATTCTTGGTACCAATTCTTGGTCCAAGAGCACATTATCAACAATGCTTCTATCCCTGATGAAAGCAGACTGATTCTTGCAAATGAGCTTGTTTAGGTGGGGTTGTATTCTCTAAACCAGGACTTTATTGATTATCTTAGAAATGACAGAAGTGAGACTAATGGGTCTGAAATCCTCCCATTTGCAAGGAGCTTTATCCTTGGGAACCAGTGTAATGGTAGAAGAGGAGAAGTATTTGGGGAGGTCAGCCCTTCAGAAAAAACTTTGAACTTTGGCAATAATTTCACCCTTCACTATATGCAAGGCCTTTTTGTAGAAATCAGCAGAGAATCCATCAGGACCAGCCACCTTGGTGCTGTCAATGGATTTTAGAGCTTCCCAAATTTCATTTTCATCAGGAATATTAGTAAGGGATAGACTATTAGTAAATTCCCTTTCCTTGTCAAACAGTGTTTCATTGATGGTTGAGTGGGAAATAGAATTTTCTCTGAACAATTTTTGAAAATAATGTACAGCAGCATTAGCAATTCCCTCAGCATTGGAAATCCAGTGACCTTCCTGAGATAGGATTTTGTGGATTGTACTGCTTTTCCTCCTATAATTAATGCAAGCATGATAATATTTAGAGTTTTTGTCACCCTCACAAAACCTTATTTTATTAGCCTTTTGGGCATAGAGAGCCTCTTGCATGTTGATCAGGTCCAATAAGTTATCATTGGCTGACTGGAGGTCCATTTCAGACCCCATGTCAGAAGATAAGAGCTGTTCTAAATGCAAAACATTTTGTTCAGCTTCAAGGACTTTCTTATCTATGTTCCCCACCTCCTTCCAGTTCCAATTTGTGAGATGTTTGCTGACTTTTTTATGTAACAACCAAAGCTTGATATTTGGAATGTGATGGTGGACATCAGTCCAGGCCTTGGCTACTTGATTAATAAAATCCCCATGCATTGAACACATGTTCAGATATCTGAATTTGGCTTTAGTTTTAGAGGAGGAAGAAGATATTTGGATAAGTAAGGGTCTATGATCAGACCCACTCATAGCCAAGTGTTGGACAGAAGTATGTAGAA